GAAATTATTATACATCATCATCATTACACATTCTGCTGATCTCTCATTACTCGATATCCCTATTTCAAGACTTTAACTTCCTTATGAATAACTTCTTCCTATGCTCCCACCTCCACCACCAAGTCTCATAATTCACAGGGTTAGTCTTCATGGTACATTTACCAATCACCTTGATCAGGTTTAGTCTCATTCTGAGATTTGCGATGCTCTGCTCTCTTCCCTTCCTTCATTGTAGAGTCTCTTACTCTTCTTCTTTTGAGAAATAGTTCCATTGTCCTGTTGGTTTCTTACACAATAATATCAATACATTACTATTTCACCTTATTACCTCTCGGTTGGTTTCAATTCAATGTGGTCTCAGTTGTTGTGTATTTCTATGGCTATTCTTTCTCTCCATTTTATTGATTTCACATCTAAGCTTGTGGTAAAATTTATTTATTCACATTTCCAATCTGTTTGCTGTTTTTTATGCCTGTTCACTTCTGACATGTAGGTTTTGACCTCTTCTATGAAGACTGAATTTACTTTCTCTGCTTCACTTATTGCTATCCATGACAATGCATCAGTTGTCATTTAGTGTTCATCCAGCATATATTCAGTAGATGAGTCATACCTCACCAACTTCAATCTGAAACATTGAACCCTGGGCAGTATCCTAGTTACTGTTTTTATTCTGAAGAGAAAGCAATGGTTTAAAGTTTGTTCCTCTCTTAAATTAGGAGCGTCAGTACCTAATCTAATTGTTTTTCCATGCCTATGTTGTTGTTAAAGCCTCATTTTCAATTTTTACAGTTGTTAAATTGAATGATCCAAAAGTATGGTACGTTGGTGTACATTCTCCATTTTTGTTCACATAAGAGTTCTGCCCCCAAACCTTAAGCACACCCCCCCCCCCCCCCCCGCCTCCACCGCCCATGCCCACCCCCAATCTTTTTGAAGATCTGTTGGCTTTTACTATGGATGGTAGATGCAGATCACGGTGTTCTGATAAGATCAGGAGTTACTTGATTTTGTTAAATGTTTTTTCTGGCTTGATAATTACAAAACTATTGTTCATCCTAGCATAATAGCTATCTCAAAGACTTATCCACTTTAAGTTTGACTAAATAATTTTGACTTGGATTTCCATCTCAAGAAATCATTGAAGATCCATAATGTTCTTTAGTAGTAAAAAATTTTGTTTTCCTTTTGTTTTATTCATTCTCGGGATGAGGGCATTGCTGGCTAGGCAGCATTTATTGCTCATCTGTAATTGCCCAGAGGGCAATTAAGAGTCACATGTAGGCCAGACCAGGTGAGGATGGCAGTTTCCTTCCCTAAAGAACATTAGTGAACCAGATGGGTTTTTCCAACAATCAACAGTGCATTCATGTCATCATTAGATTCCTAATTCCAGATACTTATTGAATTCAAATTCCACCATTTGCAATGTCAGGATTTGAACCCAGGGCCCCAGAACGTTACCTGGGTCTCTGGATTAACAGTCCAGCGATAACACCGCCAGGCCATCACCTCCCTGTTTTACTGTGATTTCAATGACTGGATTATGTGCGTGAGAAATTTTAATCTTCATTGCGCAAACTCACCATTCTTTCAAAGTGAGACTTACATTCTGAAATATTTTGATGAGTGACGACTGTTCTAACTCTTTGATCGTATTCTTCTTTTGTACCTTGATATATTAGTATGGTAACAATGTGACATATGAGCCCTGCATTGCCTTCCAATGTGTTTAACAATGTTCTTTGAAACATTTCTGGTGCAGATGCTATTCAAAAGAGTAACCTATTAAAGCAATATCACCTGGAAAGTGTGTAATAAAGCTTTCCTCCTGCAGCATCATTGAGGGCTGCTGCAACTTAATCTTTTGAAGCCAATTAAATTCCTCTGATAACACTGAGATGTAGTTCCACTTTCAATTTTAGGCTCCCTAATATCCCCTTTCACTTTCAGTTTGACACACCTAAAATCACTGATTTCTTCTACAATTTTTTTTTCTAATTTTGATTTTACAGATTTGTCCTGTTTCTTCATTTTAATGCATTGGAATGGTGCATTCTTCTAAAATATCTATCACACTGTGCAACAGTTATGGCATTGCACTCCCCATCTTGACCAGAGAGTCTGCTTGTATGTTTCACTTCACTTCTCTAACACTTTGTTGTGACACTTGCAATGCTTTTCTCCACTTTGGCTGGCTGTGCATTTCACATGCCTCCTATGTATGGTTCACCACAATTAACATTTTACGTACCATTTTACTTCCCCTCGAACAAAACCTTATTCTGCCTCTGAAGTTTAGTTTGTCTCACAATGATTAGTGTTTTCTCTAGCATCAAATCCTCCCTGGTTTGATAGGGCCATCTAAAACTCACACCACAATCAAGTTGTGAATTAATTCTGACTTCACCCCACTTGTATGTGAAATTCTCTGCTGGATTGGGAAGATTAATGAACAAATCCACGCTTTCCTGAGGACTCTGTTTTCTCTGATTACATTTTACATGCTTCAGTATTAAATCTGCCTTCATGCTGAAGTGCATATCAAATGCCCTCGACACTTCTTCATATAGCTCTGAATTTTCATTAATGCCCTCTGTAGTGATTGGAATGAGGTCAGCCAGGTGGACCTCATAGAATATGAGTTCCTTGCTTGGTCCTGTTTATCTGCTCCAATCAGGGAGTCCTGGCCGACAGATATAAACAAGAGTGTCAGAGGTTTGCAGTGTAGGAGCCAGCCCCAATGCTAGCTGGGTCAGTGACATGTACTATGCACATGTAAATAAAGGGTGACTTGGTGACAGGATACCGGCCTTTGCAGAGTTATTTCACCCTCTATGGCAACTACATCATTTATGATTGTTCCTACAGCATACGGTAATGGACTGACCCACATTTTAGCCTCTTTTAGTTGAAGCCTGTAGCTGTCCCGTATCTTCTAAATCTCCCAAACCTCCATTCCTGAGTCCAGGGCCGTTAGTCAATGGCCTGGAATAGCTCTGAGAGTGACAAATTAGTCTCCATGACTTGCCTGAGCTCTAGGGCTGCTCCTTTAACTGTGGCTGTGTTTGTTCTGCTATTTGGCTCCAGGTCTGTTTCTAGGCCTTCACCTGCACCTGCAATGCCTCCCCCCGATATCCTGTTGAGTCTTGTAAAAAGTCTCTCTTTGCTTCATGACCACTTAATTGTTGACTTCAGTCATTGATTTCGATACCTTTTGGAACGCTTTCATGTTTTATTGTGTGCATGCACTTACTCGAATTAGTGTCCTAAGCACTGCTTCTTGAGTCCATGGTACTTTCTGCAAGAAACTTGCACTTAAGAATCTGTGCCTAGGTACCTTTGTACCTAAGATGGTTCCCTTAGTGGCAACTTGTAAACTTTTCACTGTCCTCATTGGAGTACATAAGACAATAAAGCTAATTCTAAGAATTCTAAGAACTCTTTCTTTATGGTTGAAGCAGATACACTAAATATTTCAAAACTCAAATGTAGCTTCTGCTTCTTTCCAGTTCTTTCTGCATCTAATCAAATGATACTGACACTATTATGACACCATCATATTTCAGCATCACCATTTCAGATTCTTATATATTGTTACATCTTATTACTCTGCAACATCAATAAGAAGGAAGAAACTAAAATTTTGATAGTCTGCAAAAAGAAAGTCATCCAGTTTGGGTGGGACACACTCTATGTTACTGAGGGGAGGAAGAGTAGAATTTTTGATGGCACTGGCCACAATTTTCTAATTCTCCTTAGCAATGAAGAGAAAGGTAATGGTGGTGCTTTTGGAGGCGGTGGATGTCCTTACATCACAAAGGTTGCATTTCTATTTATGTAGGGAGCAAAGTGGTAAAGCTTCAATGATACACCAACCAGTCTAACATCAGTGATAGGGACACCTTTGAGGACAATAATCTGGATCAAAATGAATTGACATATGGTAAAGTGGAAGCTCATAAATGAAGCACATGGTAGATTTATTCAAGGTAAAATGGATTTGACAAAATTGTTTGTGTTCTTTAATGAAGTAATAATGATGGTTATTGAGAGTAGTGGAGAAAATGTTGTGCAAATGGAATACCAAAATATGTTTGAAATGTACCATGTAATATGTCTATTTGCAAAATTAAAGCCCAATGGATTAAGTGTACAACAGCAGCTTGGATATAAAAATTCTTGAATGCAGAGAAAGCAGGAAGTAGTGGTGAGCAGTTGCTTCTCAATCTGGAGGGAAGTGTTCATTGGTACTGAGCAGGAGTCAGTATTAATATTTCTGCACTTCTAGATGTAAGACCCACAACACCACCAGCAGAGACACTACAAGCGAGTGTTCACTGCCATAGTTCCCTCAAAACAAAGCCCGAAATAAGCATGAATCTTCTAAATGTCTCTTCATTGATCTATTTGCAGGGGTCAAATTAAGCTACAAATAGTTATTCTCCCGCTGATTTATTTATAATAGGATCTGAAAATTGTACAGTTTGATTGATACATCAAACAGTGAAAAGAAGGTCCCAAAGTTTTCAGTGGAAGTGACAATGACAGTAAACTACCAAGAGTAGCAACTAGAAATATCTGTAAGAGAAAGAATATGAAATCATGTAAATTTATCGAGATGAGATTGTGATCAGTCATGGTCAATCTCCAGATACTATTCAGCTGAGCAAAGTTTGCAAAATGCCAAATTTGGCAGAGCTGAAAAAAAATTCCCTTTCATACTGAAGTTTTGTTTGACTAAAATTAAAGTTCTGTTCCTAGTTGTAAAGCCGCCAATCAATGCAAATATTATCTCATCCCCTTAATTCAAAGTTGTGTCATTTAACTTCTCTAATAATTCAAGTTTCATCTCCAACTTCTTATAATATTTACAACACTAAATTCAAATAATTGGATAGTTCTATTTTGTTTACAGTTTGGAATATCAGGAGTAGATTGCCATCTCTAGATTGTCTTAGTTCTGTTTGTTTGTAAAATGGTTTCTCCCTTTTTTTCAGAGAAAGCTACAAAGTACTGCGATGAAACTGGGAACTGGTTCAAACATCCAGAAACCAATCGAACTTGGTCCAACTATACATTTTGTAACAAGTTCACAGATTATAAAATAAAGGTAGGTTCCTGTTATATATAGCAAAATCCTCACCACTGTCAGCATGCTAAATTGTCAGATTCTAATATTGCCAAAAATGTATCTATTGTGGTCATAGACTATACAATCGTCTGGGAAGCCATGGGTAAATTCTCTGCCACCAATTCATCTAACTGGTATTAGTTTAAGTTGCAGCTACCAAGTGGAGGAGAATGTTCACATCAAGACGTTGGTAGAAGATAAGCCCGGTCTTGATAAACAAAATAGGTTTATTACTTTATATTTAATAGTTGGTTGCATTACATCTGAAATAGATGAGAGTCCTTTGTAAGACCTCAAGTGATACTTAAGGGTTAGAACACATTATTTCTACTGAGATATTCTGGTACACAACTTAGGAACAATTGGTTTGCTCTTCCCAGGAACAATTCATTATATCCTGATACGTGGAACTTATATCATGATTCAGTTAAATTTTCAGACATTAACTGCCTTACATATGATCACCATCATCACCAACTCCCCACCACTACTCCCTGACTATCAAGTTTCTGACTTTATAACAGCAGTCAATCTGGATGTTTGACTAAAGTCTAAGTTCAACACATATTCAATCAAAATGTGGTCCATTATCAGATATAACTACATCTGGGATTACAAGAGTGGTGATTATTTAACGGAGGATGTTGATGACTGTATCCATGTTGGTACTTTCTTTACTTTGATTCATCAAAAAAAGTAGTCCATCACTCACAGATAAGGGCATCCTTCAAACACCCACAGGCCAGTCCCTATCTTTTTCAATATTCTAGTGGGAAAGGCAGTGGAAATCAATAGAGTTCCCTGCTTTCAGGATTATATATGGCGCATGTTTGACAATCACTTCTATGAGATCTTCTATCTGTTTACTGATTCTGTCCACCATCCTGGAGCTCAAGCTCTAGATCTACATTTGGTAATGCCTGCTTGCTCTTGATGTATTTTGATGAGGATTTCGGTTCTTAATTCAGGAGAGTTAAATTGTCAACAATAGTGAAATAAAAACAGAAATTGCTGGAAAAGCTCAGCAGGTTTGGCAGCATCTGTACACAGAAATCAGAGTTAACTCTTCAGGTTAAGTGATCCTTCCTCAGAACAATAATGCAATGTTGTTTACGTTCAAAATGAACATTCATCATTAAGCCACCAGGTTTGTTTGTTGATAATCCTTCTATACCGTATTGACATGTAGCAAAACATTTGGGATCTGTTCTTCTCTGAGCTTAAGTATTGTTTGTGTTGCTGGCTCGAACATTTTTGTTGCTTGAATTGAGTTTATCAACAAGATCTTTATCAGCTGGTGTAAGTTTGTCAGCAGCCTGTATGGGGAGGGTGTCCTCTGATATTTATAACTTCATTTGCACATATTTGGTCTCATGTGCAAATCTCCTGAGGCAAAGACAAAATTATTGTTTCCAAGGGGGCATTTGTTTGGTCAAATCTTTTTTAACTCACAGTGAGACCAGCAGCTGATCATTAGTCTCTTTAAGAACCATGAGACCCAGTATGCAATTAGAAAATTTCTTACAGGCTCTCCTAACTGTGAGGGCGTCTTTTCTAACAACTGCATATTTGGATGCATATTATATTGGTTTTCTGCAGCATGCCAGCTGCTCTTGGAAGAGAACTAGTCCAATACATGTGGCCAAGGCATCCACAGGATAACAGTCAAGAATGATGGATTATATTGGGCCAAGACATCTACATAAGCCAGTATGTCTTTGACCTCATGATGTGTGCCCCAACACCATTCTTGAGCCTTTTTGGGTCAGTGTCTCAAGTGTTTTGACATAGTTCCCAAGTGAGGTACATTTTTTATTCAATGGTTTACTATTTTTCCAGAAAACTTTGTAAGTTATGGACTGATTTTGGAGTAGGAAACTTTTCTTACCATCTTTCATGATGTGGCTTTAAACCAGCTTTGTCAGTGTTATGTCCCAAAAATAGAATAAAGTCCTTGGCAAACTCACATTTCTCATTGATCACACAACACCAGGTTATAGTCCAACAGGTTTATTTGAAAACGCAAGCTTTTGAAGCTCAGCTCCTAGCTCCTTCCTCAGGTGTAGTGTGAGAGAGAGGGTATAAGGCACAGGATTTATGAGCAGAAAGGTAACAACCCTAAAACTGGCTACCTCTTGTTGAATCTTTAATCAGTTAGGAAGGAGACTACCGATTAAAATACAAAATCCAGATTCCTCTTGAATCATTGTCCCAAGATAATTAAAGGTTTTGTCAATGTATACAAGAGGTCACATCTCAGGTCAGACAATGCATTCTAGGTGTGAGGTCTTGCTTAGAATCTGTCTATGTTTTAAACTGGGGTCAGGTTTTTTTGAGCAAAAAAGAATGTATCTGCAACTACACAAGGGGAGGTGATGGCCTAGGGGTATTATCAATGGACTTTCAATCCAGAGACTGAGGTAACATTCTGGGGACCCAGGTTTAAATCCCGCCATGGCATAAGGGGCAATTTGAATTTTAAAAAAAAAATCCGGAATTAAAATCTAACGATTACTGTGAATCCATTGCTGATTGTCAGGAAATACCCATCTGGTTCACTAATGTCCATTAGGGAAGGAAACTGCCATCCTTACCTGGTCTGGCCTGCATGTGGACTCCAGACACACAGCAATGTGTAGTTGCCTCTTAACTGCCCTCTGGGCAATTAGGGATGGGCAATAAATACTGCCTAGCCAGCGACGCCCATATCCTGTGAATGCATCAAAAAAAACCAAACATCTTGGATGAAATAATTCATATGTGTGTGTGTGTGTGCGTTTGTGAGAGAGAGTGTGTGTGAGAGACAATGTATGTGAGGGAGTGTATGTGTGTGAGAGAGAATGTGTGAGGCAGTGTATATGTGTGAGAGAGAGTGTGTGAGGAAGTGTATGTGCATGAGAGTGTGTGAGACGAGAGTCAACAAGAAGCGGCCAGTTTTAGGGTTGTTACCTTTCTGCTTATAAATTCTGTGTCTTATACCCTCTATCTCACACCACACCTGAGGAAGAATCTGAGCTCTGAAAGCTTGTGTTTTCAAATAAACCCATTGGGCTATAACCTGATGTCATGTGATTTTTGACTTTGTCCACTCCAGTCCAACACCAGTATTTCCACATCATTTCTCATTGAGATTGAGCCTTGCTACCTGCAATCATTTGAATTCTGAATGTATCCTCTGATCATAAATTTCTGTCATTCTGCATGGATTAAGATGACATTTTCATCTTCATTATTCATATGACATGTAATGCTGCCCAACCCTAGTTGGAAAAAATACGTTGGAGGATTTCTAGAATTGGTGTGATTTCAAAAGGCAATCTGTAGAAACAACATCTTCCAGATGGAATTATGAATGCACCGAACAATTTGGACTTTTCATTTGAACAGATCTGCCAGAAACCACTAGTAGAATCAAGTTTAGTGCTTTTAGAGAGTTTGGACAGTCTTTTATCTGCAGTAGCCATGGGTGGATTTTTCTAGACACTGCCTTACTGAGGCATATAAAATTAACACATATTCTGACAGAACCATTAGGTTTTGGTGTAGTAACCATGCCAAAACTCCATTCTGTTGGGTTAGTCACTGTGACATCACACCCGATTAGCTATTTCCTATCATTGATAGGTTACTTATCCCATTAAAAGATGAGGAATTGTTTTAGGTTTAGCATCTTTTCTTAATGTGGTGTTATAATCTGTGCTGTGTTTACCTACGCTTGTCAATAGTTTTGGGTAATTCTTTCTTGCAACTACTCCTCTCTCTGTGAATTCCTGTACTTGATGGAGGAGGTTCAGAATGAAGCATGTTTTCTTGCTCAACAATGAGCGCTGCAGATTCTGGATGACCTATGCCTTTCCTATATAGCAATAACCTCTATGCTTCAAAGATAATATTGACATCCCTTTAAATTTCTGGCTTGAAAGATATTATTAAGCTGGAGGGGGTTCGGAAGAGATTTACCAGGATGTTGGCGAGTATGGAAGGTTTGAGTTATAAAGAAAAGCTGGATAGGCTTGGACTTTATTCACTAGAGCATAAGAGACTGAGAGGTGATCTTACAGAAGTTTAAATAATCATGCATATGCTTAAGATAGGCTTAATGGTAGGTGTCTTTCCCTAGGATGGGGGATTTCAAGACTAGGCACATTTTTAAGGTTAGAGGAGAGAGATTTAAAAAAGACATGAAGGCCAATTTTACACTGACATTGATTCCCATGTGGAATGAACTTCCTGAGGAAGTGGTGGACGTAGGTACAATTGCAACATTTAAAAGATATTTGGATAAGTACATGAAAATGAAAAGATTGGGGGTTTAGGCACAAGGAGCAGGCAGGTGGGACATATTTAGTTTGGGGTTATGTTCAGCATGGACTGGTTGGACCGAAGGGTCTGTTTCCATGCTGCATAACTCTATGACTCTATGACTATGACCTGCACTGTATGACATTAAATCAGGAGACTGTAATTTTGTTTCCTTCAACCAAAAGCTTTTGTTCAGATAATACAGTAACACTGGCCCTGGGGTCAACTTTGAAATGAGTTGGATGATGGTTAATTTCTATGATCTGTATTGTACCTGGTTCAGATGAGACACCCTCACAAAAAAAGTCTGATCATGTCTTCCAAGGGCGACGTATCATCCTATCATGATATGTGTTCCAATTGCGGTATGCCTTAGTATTCTAGGTTTCTTCCACAGATCATTTAAGTTCTTTTTGCCACAGATAATGCATGCTTGCACAAATGTTGTTTTGGAATTGTAGACATTTCCTGGAAATGTTCCACTTTCTTACGTGAGTTACACTGGTGTCATAATTCTCAACATCTGGCTGAATCACCCATTTGCATGTAAAACGTACAGATGAGTAAGGTTCATGGTATCCAATTCATTACAGTCCAGTGCAAGTTTTCTCATTGCAATCTTGTCCGTTCAGTATTGATTGCGTAACTGAAATTCGGGCAAATTTCTTGGGGAATTG